AGGCCATCTTGAGACCGTCTTGGAGGCCATCTTGGGCCGTTTTGGCGGCCGATGGGGCCAACGGAAAGCGAATTGTTCACGCTTCGCGTATCCCCGCCAGCCTTGACCAGTTCCGACACGAGTGCTTGCACTTCCCTGGCTTCTGGTCCCCAGTCACCGCCACAGCCTGGCAGTGTGTGCCGTTGCCGCTGGCCTAATGGGTCTCTGGACCGCTGGTTCACTCAGGAGTGGTTCAGCCTTCTTGATCGACCATGTGTGTTCCCCCTGTCGGTCTGCAGCCCGCCCGTTGGGCTGTTTATGCAGCCCCGGGCTTCGCCACTTCTGTGGCGCGCCGACCTCTGGCGCCTGGATGCGACAACGTCCAATTCACTCATCCTGGTGGTCTCGCCCCTGGGGTGCCCGCGCGCCTGCACAGCTTCCTGGCAGCCCCGGCAGCTCTTGCAGCCTCTGCCCTCGGCGCAGCAGCTTCCCTCGGCGGTAGGTTCTGCTGATGCCTGCGAGCGCGCTGGGCAAGTAGTTCTGCTCGTAGCCCGAACCGACTTGTGACGCCGCCGGCGCCTTCGCCTGCGGTTGCGACAAAAAGTATCCCCACCAGCCCATTCCGAATCGCTGCCCATGAGAGCTGACGGGGAACGGGAGGGAAAGACGCATTTAGTGAAACGAAGCGGGCGACCAGGGTGAACTGAGAGGTCTCTGGGAACAAGGTGGTGGCCCTGGAGGGCCTCTTCGGGCCATCCCTGGGGCCCGCGCGGGGGCGACGGAAGGAGGAGGAGGAGGAGGAGGAGGAGGGCCTTGTGGCAAGGGCCCGGGATTTCTGTGGAACGAGTCCTGGGCTCATGTGGAGCAGGCCCCAAAGGCTTGACCTTTGCCTCCTGGGGTTCTCTTCGGAGCCCACACCGAAGCCCGACCAGCCCATGCGCCGACTCTGACCCGCCGAAACGATACGCCGATGCTCCAGCCGAGGCGAAAGGCGCCGCTGAGCCGATATACCGCTACGCCAAGGAGCCGATGCACCGACTTGGAGCCGCTGAGCCGATACGCCGAGGCTCCGATCGAGGCGAAAGGCGCCGCTGAGCCGAGAAGCCGACATGCCGAGACGCCAGTCTGGTGCGCCCGCCCACCAGCCGATATGCCGACGCGCCGGCGGGGATTGGGTCGGCAACTGTTTCGACGCCATCGGCGTTCCCTGGGCCGATGTGGGGTTGTCGTATCGACCCTCCTTGCGCCGATATGCCGATATGCCGATATGAGTTGGCTCGGTATGTCGGCCCTCCCTGCGCCGATATATCATATCGGTGTATCGGCGTATCGGCCCGGAGGCGCCGATACATCATATCGGCATATCGGCATATCTCGGCGCCGATAAACCGATACTGTATATCGGTTCATCGGCGTGTCAGCGCCACGGCAAGAGCGGCTCCACAACGCGGTCGCCTTGAAAACACCGTGCAGGTCCACCCCGTGGGGGACAGTGAGAAGGCGGCCTTCTCAGAAGGCTCGGAAGTCGCTCGGCCGCCTGAGAAGCCTCCTCGGCCCTCCCCGGCGACGCAGAGAGAGCTCCTCGGAGGGCGCGCGGGCCTCGCTGAGAAGCCCTGCCGCCTTCTGAGGAGGCCTCCTCCTTCTCCTTCTCCTTCTCACTTCCTCCCCCCCTCGCTCGCCGCAGAGGCGAGCCTGGCTTCTCGGGAGCACTGCCGAGATCGGCTGCACGCAAGAGTGACCTTTGGTGCGCAGCTTTTTGGGGACCGCGGGGGGACCAGCACACAAGCGCGCAGGACGCTAAAAATCGCACCGCGTTCGGCGATCGGGGGGCCCCACTGGGCCCGCACCAAAGGTCACTCCGGCGAAAGATCACTCTAACGTCTAGTCGACGAGAAGCCTCATGGCCGACCCCAGCGGTGTCTGGGCCGTTCGGGCGCCCGTCGGGCGCACGTGCTGGTTTGGGGCCCTCTGCCGAGGCGCCCTGGGAGCCTCCTGGGCCCTCCGCGTTAAGCCGTGCTGGGGGTATCTTTGGGGCCGCCTGGGGCCGCCCAGTGGAAGACGGCCCGCCGCCACTGGCCTCGGAGCTCAGCGCGGGGGCGCCGTCGGAGCACGGCGCAAGAATCCTGCAGCCCCTGATCGTACAGTCGGACTCGACTGGACAGGACACGCGAATGGGCTCGACTGATCGTACAGTCGGACTCGACTCGACTCGACTTGCCTGGCCAGGCGCACCAAAACGCACGTCCTCGACCCCGCACGTGTAGCATTCGCCCGGGGCCGTCCCAGGGCGCACGAGCCTGGCCCCGGCGCACCATCCCTTGGGGCAGCACGCTCGGAACGCACCCGGAACCATGCCGGGGCGCACCAAAAATGCCTGGCCCGGGACGCGCCGCCCGCGAGAGCCGGCACGCTCGAGATGCAGCTGGGACTGGCCCCGGGGCTGGCCCCGAGGCTGCACCGGCCTCGGGCTGGCACGCTTAGAACGCGGCGGGCGCACTGCTGAGGCGCACGACAACGTCTGGCCACGAGACACACCATCCTCGAGCTGGCACGCACGCTCGGGATGTGGTCACCACTCTGGAGCCGGTGACCCTGGCGACCCTCCCTGAGGGCCCGACAGCGATGCTGTTCGTCTTTGGCCAAGATAGACAATCTACTGAACAGAGAAAACCCAATCAATGGATTTCATTTCTTTCGCTGGCGCTCCACGTCTCTCTCTCTCTGCCTCTCCTTCTTTCTCTTTCTGCCTCTCTCTCTCTCTCTTTCTTTCTTCCTCTACTCAGCTTACGGTATGTGCCCTTTCACCTCGCTCTGCACCCAATGATCTGATATCAGCTCTGTACTTGTTTCCTCTCTCTCTCTCTTGCTCTCGCTCTCTCTCTCTCTCTATATATATGTCATTATGTCTCTGTCTATGTTTATGTCTCTCTCTACATACATATATACACAGCGCTGCCCTATAAACTTCTATGTGCATTCTCCCGTCCGACCTCATTTTTTTTTTTTTTTTTTTTGGTTTTCTCACTCTCTCTCTCTCTCTTTCTATATCTGTGTATATATATAATCTACACCAGTAACTCGCGGCTCCAAGAGGGCCTCAAGGTAGCCGAAGATACCAACAAAACGCCCTCGAGACAGCCCAAGAAGGCCCCTGAACAGCCCAGAAGAGACCCAAGAGGGCTTCAAACTGGCTCACGAGGATCTCCAGAGGGATCTAAGGCGGCCGAAGGGACCCCGAATACTGCCCCGCAGAAGCCCAGGACAGCCTCAAGACGGCCCAAATGCGGTCCATGATGGCTCTTCGAGAAATGAAGAAGAAAATTGTCACATGAGACGGCTCTTCTCTTCTTTCTTCCGCCTCCTCCATCCCTTTTCTGCATAAGTCTCTCCTCCCCGTCACGCCCCCAGACGTGTTGGTAGGGCGGGCCAAGCGTTTCACCTGAGACTTCGTCACCACTGATGATCCGTAGGCTTGAAGTGCAAAGCAATTTCAAGGATGGAGGGCGGGTCGTCTTCAAAACATGCCTCTCGTCTGAGCGCCGTGCACATTCGTCTTAAAAGCTTGCCGCAGGTTTAAGGATCGAGGACGGCTCCATCTAAAAATATGGCTCTCGCCGTAGCGCCGCGCGCATTCGTCGAAGTTTGCAGCAGTTTCAAAGATGTAGGGTGGTTCTTTTTCAAAATGTGGCTCTCGCCCTAGCGCCGCACGCATTGGTCCCATAATTTTGCAACGCTTGCAAGGATGGCGGGCAGGTCCTTTCCAAACTGTGGCTCTCGCCCTAGCACTGCGCACCTTCGTCTTAAACGTTTGCAGCAGTTTCAAGGATGAGGGGTCCTTTTCAAAATATGGCTCTCGCCTTGGTGCCGCGCGCATTCGTCTTAAAGTACAAAGCAATTTCAAGGATTCGTATGGTGGAGGTCCCATGAATGGTGCCCTGGCGCGAGTTAGGATTGCCAGGATGCAAAAACAAGTTTTATTCTCGGTGTTGACGTCCCTGGAGCGGTGTTTGGCATGGTTTAAGATTGCCAGGACGCAGCAGTCACGTTGATTCGCGGCGTTGAAGTCCCAGGACGGGCGTTTTGGAACGATTGAAGATTCTCATATAGCTGTCTTCAATATGGGCGCTTCCCGCAATGACAGTAAAGTATGGTGGTGGACTGTGAAGAGGGATCATGGAGGAAAGGTTTGTTGCAACATCGTTGCTGTGTCTTGTGTTTACACTAGTTCTCCTCCTCATCCCCATCATCATCATCATCATCATCATCATCATCATCATCATCATCATCATCATCATCATCATCATCATCATCATCATCATCACCATCATCCTCGTCCTCGCCCTCCCCCTCATCATCACAATCCTCACCATCATCGTCATCATCATTCCGATTACGTTATGAATTCCCCTCTCCCTCGTCCACCACAATCCTCCTCCTTTCCTCATCTTCAGCCGCATCCTCCGATCGCCATTCTCATCGTTGTCATCATCATCCTCATCGTTTCGAGCAGCTGCCACCGAGAATGCTAAGCTGGCACGGTGGCGGGAGTTGCCGCAGGAAACTGATGTCTCTAATCTCTATCCTCTCCGCTTAGCCATGCTCCCTACTCTCTCATGTGTCTTCTCTACTCTCTACTATCTACTCTTTCTCTTATCGTGACCTCGGTCACAAAGACCCACATACTCGGCCATAACCAGGAAATCGAGCCCCTGGGAACATTTCAACGACGGAATGACCAGACACAAAACCGGTAGCCCAACAGCCCGTCGAAATCGGCCTGGAACCGGGAACCTGGGAACCCTGCCAGCCACCGAGATCGGCCCGCAACTTCCGCCTACTCTTTCAGTTTCCGCTGGGACCCCTTCAGTGCAAGCGCTAATTGGGGAACTAATGTGCGTTCCCACTGTCTACTTGTCATGCTCTCCCTCTATCTATATAGATGTCCCTCTCATTCTATCTGATTCTCTCTCTCTCTCTCACTCTCTTTACTTCACTGTCGCTAGGATCAGGCGACGATTTTTTTTTGGAGCTGTATTTCTTGAAGATGATGTCTTGGATTCTGCCACGCTTCTTCTCCGCGATGCCTTTCGAGACAGCCTCCCTGACCTCTCTCCGGCCCTCCGCGTGGCCTCCATCACCTGCTGCACCGCACACTGGACCCGTGACTGCACGACGCAACTAAGATTTGTTCCGACTCCTCGCGCATGCCCTCGGCCTCGATCGCAAGCTTGTTCCTGGCGATGAAACTGGCAACGGCCGAACAGGCCGCCATCGCAACTTCCGCTCAGGACTCCACGGTGACAACGGCCGCAAACTTCTGCCAGGCGTCGAAAGTCCCAGCAGGCTCGCCGCGATGCTGGCTTCTCGGAGGCTGTTGGCCTGCAACGTCGTCTCAGAATCAGACATCTCTGCAAACTTCTCTGCGTCCTGCGTCTTGTCCTCATCCGCACTCCCGGCGCCACACCCTTCTCCAGTCTCTTATTCGGCAATCTTGCCTCGCTCACCTTCTCGATGGCGGCTTCTGCCTCGAATTCCAGAGGTTCGAGCTCTCCTGTTAGCCATTTCGCCATCGGCCGACCCCCGCTTGCCAGGGGTGAGAAGGCATGTGCGATGTTCGGTGGCCACCCTTCCCTGGTCCCCCCCTGTGTGCCCCAATCTCATGCCCGCCACTGAGGAACTGGCCACGCTAACTCCCCAACATCCTGCCCGCTCCCCGCCCTCGCCCTTGCCTCCCTGTCCCTCCACGGCATCACATCTCTCTGCGGCGTCATCCTGCGCTTCCCCTTACTCTGGAACACCGTGCAACATATATTCCATTCGCCTGGGTAGAATTTCGGGGGTCTGCGAAATAGCGTAAGCTTTTGAATATGCTAGCGCCCGCTCGACCTTTCCCGTCGACGTCGCCATCAGGTGACCCGTGTTGGCAAGCTCCTTCTCTAATGTGTCTGCAAGCTCCTTCTTCAGGTTCTTGGAGGTGCTGGGGTAGCGTTGGAGAGCAGCTCAGAAGGTGCAGGATGACGAACTGCTGCCCGCTCAATCTCCTCTGCTGCGCTCAACTCCTGCGCCTGCGGCTTCTCCCACAACTTCCTCCAATCCTCATCGATCTGCTTCCGCTTCGCGGCTCGCTTCTTACGCTCCTTGCCAGAGAGGGCGACAACGTCAGGGTTTGGGGAGGGGGGCAGGGTCGACATCGACCTGGAATTGCGTCGGGCATGTCCTCCTACAGGAGGATCTTGGGCGAAGAATCGACATACTCAAACCATACTCAAAAAAAGTAAGAATTAGTTCCCCTATTTTTTGTGACGCTTTTTGAATTTTCCTCCTGTAGAGGGGCAGTCCCGACTTAAACCTGGAATCGACGACACACCGCCGTCGCCCACAGGCCCCCGATTGCGAAGCAGCAAGTTCCCGGGCGCGCTGGGGCACCAAAGACCGCCTGCCGGCGACGAGCGAGTGGGTGAGGCCAGCGGTAGGTCGGGCATGTCCTCCTAAAGGCGCATTTTGGAAGACAAATGAAACATAGTCAACCAATGTCTAACAATAGCCAAACATAATTACTCCAAGCATCGTCCCCAGACTGTGTTTGACCATTTTTGGTATTCTTCCTCCTGTAGAGGGACGTGCCCGACTGGAGGCCAACGTCGGCCAAAGTGCAGGAGACTCCCAAGGTTCGGAGAAAGCTGGGGGAAGGTCCCGGGGAAAACTGGGGGAGGGCCCGGGGAAGCCCAGGGGAGGGTTTACGGCCGATGGCGAAGACCCCGCGCCAGCTGCCCAAGTTCCCCCCCCCCCTTCTTTGGCCCCACGGCTTAGTCTTAGGTTGGGCTGGTTTTATAATAAGGATTTGGACGAATAATAAAAAGACCCACAACTTTTAACACATAATCAAAAAATCGTTCCCAGAGTATTGTTTGACTATTTTTGAATATTGCTCCTGTAGAGGGACAGGCTGGACTTAAGGCTAAGCCTGGGAGAGACGGATCCTGAGGGAACCGGATCCTGGACCCTGGAGGCCTTCTCCCAAGACGAGTTTTGCATCCCGGGTCGTCCTCTGACAAGTCCCTCAGGCCCGTTTTCGGGCCCCGAGAGAGCCCGCCAACGGTGACAGGCCTCAGGATCCGTGTCCCTCAGGACCCGTTCCCCTATAGGAGAAACCAAAAGGCACCGATACCGCCACTCCCTGGACCTCCCGGGGTGCGTTCTGACCAGAATCTTCAGGCGAACCTGGTGGTGGCGACGAGGGCCAGTGGACAGAAATATTCGAACCCCAGAGCACCGCCTTTGCTGAGATCAACATGGATGTCGGGGGCGCGGGGGTGATCTAGAATCTCCCTCGAATGTGCCAGGGTTCGAATCGAGTGTCCATCTACTGTCCCAGGATGCCCAGAAAAGGGGGAAACGAGGGAAGGGTACTGTAGTAGTGGAAACAATTGGTTTTCAAAATGTTTGGTCTTTAGCTCTGCGTGGCGACGCCCCCGTCGCCGCGCGTGCCCTCTGCGTGCCTGCAGGGGCGCCGCCATGTAGAAGTACTGGAGACCGAGCATTTGGGGCGTCGCTACGCACGCCCTCTGCGTGGCTGCGACCACTTGTTTAAACCCTAAAACCAATTAAATTTACTAACCAAGTAGGGGGGCACGAGGCCCCCACGGCGAACGGCGTCCTCCTCGTTCTCCTTCTGGCGCTCCCCTGGCCTGCTCGGGCCCTCCGCCTCGCGCGCGCGCGCGGGGGCGCGCAGCGGACGACGCGCGCGCTGAGGCCGCACACGCGGAAGACCCCTGCCCCCGCGCCGGACCAGGAGAGCAGCCTCCTCCTCCTCCTCCTCCTCCTCCTCCTCCTCCTCCTCCTCCTCCGCTTCTTCCTACTCCTCCTGCTCCTGCTCCTGCTCCTAATCCTCCTCCTCCTCCTCCTCCTCCTCCTCCTCCTCCCCGCGGAGGCCTCGGAGGCGGGCAGGCAGAGCCCGACGCGTCAGCCCGCTGCGGAGCACCAGACGAAGCCAGGGCGAGGACAGCATCGGGGGAGGATACATCGAGGATCTCCCTCCTCTCCTCCTCTCCTCCTCCGCTCCCTCCTCCTCCTCTCCTCCTCTCCTCCTCTCTTCCTCCGCTCCTCCTCTCTCCCTCTCCTCCCCTCTCCTCCGCTCCTCTCCTCCTCTCCTCCTCCCTCCTCCTCCCTGAGACGGGGCCATGACGAGGACAACATCGGGTGAGGATACGTCGATCGCTCTGAGATCTGGCGGCTCTGGAGGATGCAGCGGGCGCCGCGGCCTGCTCAGGGCGTTCCCGAGCGCTCTGAGAGTGTGTTCTGGGATGCTCTGGAGCAGGCTTCTCCTCGTCCTAGCCCCGTCCGAGAACAACCACTGCATCGACGTCCGGCTTGATTGTCCTCGCTTGATCGGGGCCCGTCGACCCCTGGGGGGCGCAGCTACGCCCACAACCTCTGGAGCAGCCCTCTGTCTGAAGGCCTCCGCCCAGGTCCAGGTTCGGGGTGGGTGCGGACGCCATGGCCGCCGAGCCGAGCTGCACCTGCGGTGCTCCCAAGTGGATCCGGGGCCGCTCAGGGCTTCGGGCTCTGGCTCCAGGTGGAGGTCAGCGCTGGATCCCCCCCCCCGATCCCTGCATCTGCGATCACATCCCTTCGTGTCCGACAGCCTCGCGTGACACGTCGTGCCCGAGGGGCGCGCCAGAAACAAGCAAAAACCCTCCCTCTCCTCTCTCCCTCTCGTTCTACTTCCCCCTCCCATTCTCAAAAAGAACGGCACAGACACGGCTGTCCTGGATCTGCGCCGGACACCCTCCCTGGCGCGCGGAGCGCGGCGCCCGAGGCGCCGCCATGGGGGGGCCCGGCGCGGATCCAAGAAATCCGCGCGGAGCGCCAGCAGTTTCTGGTTTATGGCGTTTTCCGTCCGTGAGGCCCTGCCAAGCGGCGTGAGCCCTGCCAAGCGGCTCTGCCAAGGTCCGTTCTTCGACTCGAGCCCCGTCCGTTCTTCGACTCGAGCCCCGTGAGGCCCTGCCAAGGCCCGTTCTTCGACTCGAGCCCCGTCCGTGAGGCCCTGCCAAGCGGCTCCGCCAAGCCGTCTCCCGTGCCGTCGCCTCTGGCCGGGGCGCTCGCCCCGGGCCGCAGCGGCAGGGGCTGGGCCTCCGCTCCACGGGCCCCGCGGCTGCGGGGGCGCGGCTTTCCGTGCCGGCCCCGCAGACCCCGCGCCTGGCCCAGCCAGCGGGGGTCTCGCACCCGACGCTGGAGACGAGGACGACGACGACCCTGACGACGACGACGTTGACGACGACGACAAAGCGACGAAACGGCGACGACGACGAAACAAGGATGACGCTACGCCGACGCCGACGACGTCGACGACGACAAAATGACAACGACGACGACAAAACATCGACGACGACAACGACGACGACAACGACGATGACGATGACGACACAACGACGAAAAGACGACGCCGATGACAAAGCAACGATGCCGACGACCAAAAGTCGACGCCGACGCCGACGCCAACGACCACGACGATGCCGACACCGACGCCGACGCCGACGCCCACGCCGACGCCGACGCCGACGTCGACGCCGACATCGACGCCGACGCCCATGCCGACGCCGACGCTGACGACGACGACGCTGATGACGACGACGACGCTGACGACGACGACAAAACGATGACGACGACGAGGTCGACGACGCCGACGCCGACGCCGACGCCGACGCCGACGCCGACAACGCCGCCGCCGACGCCGACGACGACGCCGACGCCGACGCCAACGCCGACGCTGACGGCGACGCCCACGCCGACGCCGACGCCGACGCTGACGACGACGCCGCTGACGCCGACGCTGACGCCGACGGTGACGACGACGACGACGACGACCCTGACGACGACGCCGACAAACCGACGACGACAAAACAACGACGACGCCGACTCCGCTTTCGACGCCGACGCCGACGTCGACGCCGACGCCGACGCTGGAGCCGACGCCGACGACGATGCTGACGCTGACGCCGACGCCGACGCCGACGCCGATGACGACGAAACGACGACGACGACGAAGACGACGACGACGACGACAAGAAAAACGACGCCGACGCTGACGACGACGGCGTTGCCGACACCGACGCCGACGCCGGAGCCGACGGCGACGGCGACGGCGACGGCGACGCTGACGACGACGCCGACGCCGACGCCGACGCCGACGCCGACGCTGACGGACGGCCGACGCTGACGACGACGACGACGCTGACGACGACGACAAAACGATGACGACGACGCCGACGCTGACGCCGACGCCGACCCCAACGCCGGCGTCGACGCCGGCGGGCCGATGCCGACGGCGACGCCGACGGCCAACGCCGTACGCCGACGCCGATGACGACGACGGCGCCGCTGACGCCGACGCCGACGCCGACGCCACGCAGACGGCGACGGCGACGCTGACGCTGACGCCGACGCGTCGACGCGTCGACGCGTCGACGCCGACGCTGACGCCGCCTCGTCAACGCCGACGCCGACGTCGACGCCGACGCTGACGACGACGACGACGCTGCCGACGACGACGTTGACGACGACGACGACGCCGACGACGACGCTGCCGACGACCACGTTGACGACGACAAAACGGCGACGACGACACAACGACTAAACGACGACGACGACAACATAACAACGACGACAAAACGACGACGACGACGACGCTACGCCGACGCTGACGCCGACGCTGGAGCCGACGCCGACGCCGACGCTGACGATTACGCCGATGCAAACGACGACGCTAATGCCGAGACCGACGCCGACGCCAACGCCGACGCCGACGCCGACGACAACGCCGACGCCGACTCCAACGGCGACGCCACGCCGACGCCGACGCCGAAGCCGAGACCGACGCCGACGCTGACGACGACACCGACGCCGAGGCCGAGGCCGAGGCCGAGGCCGACGCCGACGCCGGAGCCGACGCCGACGCCGACGCCGACGCCTACGACGCCGCCGACGCCGACGCCGACACCGACGCCATGCCGACGCCGACGCCAACGCCGACGCCGCCGCCGACGCTGACGACGACGACGACGCTGCCGATGACGAGGACGACGTTGACGACGAGTACAACAAAACGATGACACGACAACAACGACCAACAACGAGGACGACAACGCCGACGCCGACGCTGACGCCAACGCCGACGCCGTTGCCGACACCAACGAC